TCAATAAAATGTAAAACACTAGAGATCTGAAATATATATTCAAAAGCATTCAATGGAATGCCGATAGGAAGCATGTCATCATATGACAAAACTGCCATCCATAACAAGAAACTACATGGATTAATGATCCAAAATACTTTGGATCGTTCAATCAATAAAATGTAAAACACTAGAGATCTGAAATATATATTCAAAAGCATTCAATGGAATGCCGATAGGAAGCATGTCATCATATGACAAAACTGCCATCCATAACAAGAAACTACATGGATTTATGATCCAAAATACTTTGGATCGTTCAAGTGGATTTTACTAGTTTTGACAAAATGCTTCTTGACATGCGCTCCTTCCAATCAATCCCTGCTCCCCTCCACTCACTCTCCACTACAATCACATGCACACAAAGTGTATTTTACAAAGTGTAAAACTGCAAAACATTTACAGTGCGAATCGAAAAGTGGCCGCTTAGAAGTATTTCGGGAATGTGTACTTGAAAAGTGACCTTTAATTAATACCTGACAAACAAGAAAACATGATAAAAAACATAAATGGACAAACTTTGTGTTTGTTCTAAACATTTAAATTGTACTATTTGTGAGCATTTACACGCATAGCTATAATTTTATTTGTTTGTATGTTCAAGATTTTGATTTGAAATTTACACGTGAAAATGCAAATGAAATATTCATGAATTAAAATTTCACATAAATTTGATGCCTTTTATATGGTCTCATTGCGCCTCAAAATGCTGAAAATCGCATTCCTTAGAGTTATCATTTCAAAATTTTCTGGGGGATGATCCCCATTCCCCGTTATTACTCCGGCCTTCGTTACACCCCTCAATCAAAAATATGTATCGCGATCCCTGAGATATACGGACAAGCAAAAATGTCMACACTACCCATGTCTGTCTTCGCTTATTCATTGGAAGTTAACTTTAACGCTTGTTGGCCATGGATATTCTTCTTCTCGTGTATTCCCTGACAATGCTGTAGCCCCGTGTTTTGTAGACAGCGAGCGAAAGCTCGGATTCTTAAAATTTGTTCCACCACAGCAGCCCTGGCTACATATGTATATATTTTCTTCATCCACATGAAGCATTGTCTCTAAGATCGTTATGGTTATAGATTGGCAGCACATGAATGTTGAGATAGAATGCGCAGGCGGAATTACCAGTTGGGAAGAGCTAAGAAGAGCGAAAACGGACTTATTTTACCTCTGAATACAGATGGATCGCAGTGAAAGGGATCATTTCGTAAGTAAATATACTTAACCTCTGATATACTAATAGCAAAATCCAACTTCAGGACTTTTTTAAAAGATTTATTCTGTTCAGTAATCGATATATATCGTTTGTCTGTTTGTACACGAATTTTAGGGCATTTATTTATAGTATATTTCGAAAAAAAAATCGAAAGTGTTTATAGATGAAGACCTGTGACTCATTCCAAGCAAAAAGATACACCTTTAAACTGTATTTTTTCGAAGTATTTTGCATTTTTCTTCTCAATCTAGGTCCCTCACAGTATGCATATTCCATACACACCAGATGGATTAGGTACCTATTCAGCTGAAGCTCTTTGCTTTTACAAGACAAACGCAAAGGCAATTCCTTTGGTACTGGAAGCGATCAAATCCAGTCTTGTTAAACCTGGCTCTGTATTCACCATAGTGGATTATGGTACAGCTGACGGAGGGACATCAATACCGTTGATGTATGAATCAGTGAAGGCAATACGAGAAAAGTATGGAGAAGAAATGCCAATCACTATCATCTATGAAGACCAGCCTGTCAATGATTTTAAATCGGTCTTTAT